AGCTCAATGTCCCGTTCAATTCAAGGCGTCTGCTGCCCATCTTCGCGAAGACTGCTTTGGCCTGCAGGGAACCGATTGTCTTCAAAGGCGGTTGTCTCATCACACTGGCGAAGAAGGCCTATGCCAGTCTGAATTGTGCTGATTTTCGCAGTATCATCCTTTCCAGCGTGCCTGGGAAGCTGCTTCATCGGTCACTCAGACGTCGCCTGCTCCCTCCTCTCCGGGACGTAGCTTTACCCCTTCAGGCAGGGGCTTTGCCAGGGGCATCACCAGAGCTGCTGACTCTTTACCTCACTGCTTTCCAGAGATGGGCTCGTGCCACCCGACGCAGTTGGGCTGTCATCTTCTTTGACGTCAAGCAAGCCTATTATAGGACGTTGAGGCAGCTTGTTGTTGATTGTGACAGCGACGAGGGTCTTTGCCGTGTCCTATATGATTTGGGCCTGCCATCGCAGGCCACCTGTGAGCTTCGAGCCCTGTTACAGAGAGCAGCGGCTACTTCGCCGCTGGCAGGAAAGCAGCATCTCAATGCCATGTTGCGTGATTTGCTCACTGCCACCTGGTTTAAGTTTGAAGCCTCTTTAATGGTGTCAGTGACCCACAAGGGCACGCGGCCTGGCGACCCTGCTGCTGATGTGCTTTTTGCCTTCACTTTGTCGGCTTTGTTTCGGGCCATCGACTCAAGCTTGGAATCACAGGGACTGGTTGACATGCTTCCTCCGGTTCGACATGATCCCTTGTTGGACGACTTTGCGAGTGCCCCTCGGCTTCAATTCGTGAGTTGGGCCGATGACTTTGCCAGGCCTTTGGTTGGCAGTTCGCCTGCAGCACTGATTGACAGGGTTCAGCGTGTCACTCAATGTTGTACTGAAAGGGCTTCGTCCTGTGGTATTGAGCTCACGTTCGGCTGTGACAAGACAGCTGTGGTCTGTGATGTGGGAGCCGTGCAAACCATGCTTGATCAAAACATCGATATCCTTGGCTGCGGCATTGCCTTCCGGGACAGTGTGGCCTGCAGAAATTGTGTCTTGCCTGTTGTGCATGCTTACAAACACCTTGGAGGCATTTTCAGCGCGACATCCAAACCGGATTTGGAGATTTTCCTGAGACGTGCCGCGGCTTTGGGTTCGATTAGGCCTGTGAGAGCCAAGCTTTTTGCAAATAGCGCAGTGCCGCTGATCACCAGACGCACCCTCTTGTTTTCACTGGGCTTGTCACGATTCATACATGGTGCTGGAGCTTTACACCTTAACCAGAAGGGTCACCAGCGGATATGGCATGCTGCTTACATCGGCATCTGGGCGCACTTGGTTCTTAACCTGCCGCGGGGCAAGCCGCACAGTTTTCAGGTGCTGTATGTCTCCAAAGCTCCACCGCCACATCTCTTTCTGGCTATACAGAGAGCTGCACTCCTGACAAAGTTGGTGTCCCGGCGCTTCGTTTCTATCCTACACATGCTTCAGCTTGAGAGGGAGGCCACTCCTGAAGACTCATGGCTCTCCCAGTTGATCTACGACATTTCGGCTGTCGCAAGTTGGGTGCCGGCCGCGCAAAAACTGCAAGCTTGTCGATGGCCGCTTCATGAATTGTGCCGGCAGGTTGATGCCTGCGCGTCTTGGTGGAGTTGTGTCATTAAACAGGCTGTGAAGGACTACGCTGCAGATATTGTCAAATGGAAGAGCATGCCAAGGATTGTTCCTGTTCCTGATGGCGGTGTGTTTCGGTGCCATATATGTCGGGCATCTTTTGGCCAACGCAGTTTCCTGACAGTGCATTTGGCGCGCAGACACCAGCTTTACGCCCCGGCGCGTCACTTTGCACAGAATCGGCAATGTGTCGCGTGCCTACGAACGTTTGCGACGATAATGCTGACACAAGCCCACCTGAGGCGGAATCCAGCCTGCTTGAGACGTGCTGTGTGGTTGATGGAGCCTTTGGAGATGAGCTCCATACTGGAGGCCGAATCTGCCGATAAGGCCGCCAACAGAAAAGTGCAGCAGGGAGGCTGGCAGCAACAGCGCACTACTACGAGGGCCCAGCAAGGTTTCGGACCGCATCGTGTTACAGCTGTTGATATTGAGGAGGATCCGGAGCCCTTTTCTATCGCAGTTGTGGCCAGGCAGTTTCGACCCAGTTTAAGTGTTTCGCACTGGGTGGAGGAATACTTAGCGGGTTCGACTCGGTCTGGGCCGAGGCAGAAGTCCGTGTGCTGGTGGCATTCCAAACCGTCAGTGTTGAATTCGTTTTAGCAAGTAGTTTTTTATGCAGGCGCTCCCAATAAGGGAGCTCGACTAACTGCCGACAAAGTGGACAACAGTGGAGGGGGGTTTAGGATTTAGGGTAAACAGCCCTTCAACTCCCGGACCTAGGGTTTAGGATCCCTAAACCCTAAACCCTAAACCCCTAAACCCTAAACCCCGTAAACAGCCCTTCAACTCCCGGACTTGAGTGCGGAGCCGTGGGGAGCATCTCGTTTCGGTAGGCCAGCTCTGTGTAAAGGCCTCGGATGGCCAAAGAACCCATCAACGCGGCTTAGGGTTTAGGGCTTAGGGGTTTAGGGTTTAGGGTTTAGCGTTGAGGGATTTAGGGTTTAGGGGTTTAGGGTTTAGGGGTTTAGGGTTTATAGGGTTTAGGGGATCAAAAGGGAAAGAAGAAAGATCCTGGCCTATAACCCTCCAAAATAAGCGCAAATTAATGCGTCCAGCTGACAAATGGCAGAGCGTAAGGGACCCTTCATTACGCAACAATCCTAAACCCTATATGACCCTTATAACCCCTTTCCAGGGACCCTTCATTACGTAACAATCCCAAACCCTATATGACCCTTATAACCCCTTTCAAGGGACCCTTCATTACGTAATAATCCTAAACCCTGCCCTGAACCCTAAACCCTGCATTAAACACTAAACCCTTAAACCCTAAACCCTTAAACCCCTTAACCCTAAACCCTAAACCCTTAACCCTTAAACCCTTAAAACCCTAAACCCTGCATTACGTAACTTGAAGAGCAGGGGGCGGTAGCACTTGCCGGGCCCTGTTCGGCCAGCCCGACCAGACCGCTGTCTTGCGTTAGCCTCCAGAGTTACTACGTGGCACTTAGGGTCTAGGGATGTAGGGTTTAGGGATTTACCAGGAACCTCCAATGTAGTTCCTTTTTTGGGTTTGGTATGGTTTTTTGGCTAGGATTGCTATTAAGGCTACCAAAAAGGTACTCCATTGGAGGGTCTAGGGTAGGGTTTAGGGTTTTAGGGTTTAGGGTTTTAGGGTTTAGGGTTTGGGGTTTAGGGTTTTAGGGTTTAGGGTACTTAGGACCCCTACTAAGGGTTAACCCTTGTAGTACCTATAGTAAGAGTATAAGGGAATCCAAAAGGGTTAAGGGTCTAAGGTCCAGGCTAAGTCCCAAGGATATTACCTCTGGTTAGAGGGGAATGAAGGAATGGCAGCCCAAAACCCACAACCCCAAAACCTATAGTCCCCCTTAAATTGATAGAATGTGGCTTTGGGTAGATTTCAATAAGATCCCCATATAACCTATATTCGATCTACTTGAGGGGGCCTATAGATTATGTGAAGACTACTATACGAGTCCGTTCCTTCATTCCTTGCTAACCAGAGGTAAGCCAAAAGCAGGTCTCTTGTAAACTTGACTTGAGCAGTTGAAAAGGGTGTGTATATATACATGTAAGTCATATTACATGGGTGGGGGCGGTGTACATAGGACATGATAAGGTTCTATAGGGTTCCATAGGGTTTAGGGTGTAGGAATTTGAAAGCTACAGGATTTGTAGGGCTTTAGCTTTCAGGGAATAAGGCTTTAGGGTTAAGGCCTCGAGGTTTCGGGGCTTACTTGTTCAGGGTTCAGGATTCAGGTTTTAAGGTTTCAGGTTTTAGGGTGTTAAGGTTTGGGATTTAGGGTGTCTGGAATGTACTGTACTCAGAGTCGCGCTAAACAGACTCAAGTTTGTGTAGGGAACAAAGGGCGCCTTTGAATGAAGAGGTTATAAAGGAGAGCTATACAGAGCGTATATGGGATGACTTATGGTATACTAACCCTGATGTCTATTGATCCCAAACATACGAGCCCTAACCTCTACCTTCCGCCAAATCAACCCTAAACCCTAAACCTCACAGTATAGGGCCTAAACCCTAAACCCTGAACCCTCTAAGGACACTAGTCTTTAGTAGGCCGCCATAACTCCAGTCTAATCCGTGGAGACCTTATTCGAGCTGTCTCCATGACATGCATATAGCCCTCCATAACCCCAATCTAATCCGTGGAAACCTCCCTACTGCTGTCTCCACATTCAATCCAAAGACAACCACTCCAAGCCCCAAACCCCTAGATCCTACACCCTGATCCCTGAAACCTAACTAAGCCTAAACCCTAACTTTCCCTGAGCCCCAAACCCCTTAAGCCTGAGTACCCTAAACCCTAAGCCCTACGCCTTGAGCCCTGAGTAGATTTGGAGGTAGACTTGAGGGGTGATGAAAACCCCCCAC